AAAAAAAAAAAAAAAAGGTAATAGCCAAACCTTAGGCACATCTCAGCCCCTCGCTGCAGTCGGGTCAGTGTTCCAGCAGCACTCTGTCTGTTACACGACCGGATGCGTCTGTCAGACCACCTCCTGAGCTGGGCTGGCGAGGGTCTGTCACTGGTTTCCTTCCAGGTTGTTGGGGGGATGGGGCAGTGTTGTGCCCCCCCACACTCTTCCCTGCCACCACCAGGCACTGCCTGTCCCCCAGCATCTGACCCCCAAACCCCTCTCTCCGCAGGGGACCCAATCCTGCAGCTGCTGGAGGGCCGGAAGGGTGACCGAGAGGCCCAGGTCTTTGTGAGGCTGCGGCGGCACCGGGCCAAGCAGGCCTCCCAACATGCCTCGCGGCCTGCACCGTAGCCGTAGAGGTTTGCGGTGGGGCTGGGTCCCTGGTGGGGACCTGCAAGGGCTTTCCTGTAGGGTCTGGGGCTTCCCAGTCACAGCATGGCCTTCCAGCTTGGCCTGACACCTGGGGAGCCCCAGCATGCGGAGCGTCCAGAGTGCAGACTCCCCTGCCTTCCACGGTGATGGGGGCTCAGCAGCGATATCTCTACTCCCACCCGCCTGCCTCCAGCCCTGGCTGCAATGTCTCCACCACACCCCAGCCCCAGGGGGAGCAAACCCTGCCCCTGCCCCCCTTTCGGAAAAGCTGCTCTGGTGGGCAGGGGATTGGACCATCTGTCTCCTGGCCCATCTGCCTCCTAGCCTTCCTGTTCCAGCCACTGGGATGGGGGCCAGGTTCACTGGAACCAGGGCTACAGGTGCAGAGTCTCCTGGGGAAGGGAGGAGGACCCTGCCAAAGATGAGGCTCCAGCTGCCCTGAGGGGAGGGTGGTGGCCATTACTAGAGGGAGCCTGGGTCCTCTCCCCAGGGGCTGCCAGCATCCAGGCCAGGAGGCCTGGAGCCAAGAACCTTCTGGCTCTGAGGGAGCAAGAGCTGGCAGGCGGCGGGGCTGGCAAGGACAGACGGAAGCAGAAAGGACAGTTTGGCCGCTGTGTCTGCTACGCATGCCTCCTCCCCAGAAAGCACCTGCCACCTAGAAACTTTCTTAGCAAAAAAAATAAAATCAATCCTTTGTCCTCTTAAAATATACCTTTGGGCTACAGTGGGGCCCGGAATGCGAGCCAGGCCAGGTAGCTTCCTCCCCAGCCCTCAGGGGACCTTGAGCTACCCCTACCTTGGAGCAGCTACAAAGCAGGGGGGTGGGTGTGGGAATAACTGAGGCAGAGGCAGGGTTAGGGTGATTTTTGGCTGTGGGCTTTGAACACATCACTTCACCAGGCATACCAGTTCCTGTGGCAACACCCAGGACAGGGACCCGTTCCTCAGGGGAGCACAGTGAGCAGGGGCCTCCCGAGGGTGCAGATTGAGACTGAGGGGCTGCTCTTGAGACAGCAGGGCATAGTGGAGCTGGGTCCCTACCCTGCCTGGGGGGTCAGAACCTGAGGGCTGGTCACCACGTCATCATAGCTGTGTGACCCTGGTTCCACGTGGGAACCTCTGAGTCTGCACAAGATGAGGACAGAAGACGAGGTTCGTTGAGATGACGTCCAAGGCCCCTGAGACCATGCAAAGAGGATCCCACCAGGGTGTCTTCTCACCCCCACCGCACAGCCTAGTTGAGGAGGTGGGAGGGAGGACATGCCTCTTAAGGCTCAGCCCCTCCTCCCTCAGGGGCAGGGTGGGGTGAAGAAGGCAGAAGGCAGGACTTCCTCTGGGCCCTACCAGCAAATCATCCCAATGGGAAGGCACTGGGTTTTTTGTTTTTGTGATGGAGTCTCACTCTGTCACCCAGGTGCAATCTCACCTTACTGCAACCTCCGCCTCCCGGGTTCAAAGGATCCCTCCTGAGTAGCTGGAACTACAGACATGTGCCACCACGCCTGGTTAATTTTTGTATTTTTTTGTTTTAGTAGAGATGGGGTTTCACCATGTTGGCCAGGCCTCAAGTGATCTGCCCACCTCAGCCTGTTTTTGTTTTTGAGATGGGGTCTCACTCTGTCACCCAAGCTGGAGGCAGCTGTGCAATCACAGCTCACTGCAGCCTGGACCTCCTGGGCTCAGGTGATCCTCCCACCTCAGCCTCCCTAGTAGCTGGGACCACAGGCATGCGCCACCATGCCCAGTTAAGACACTGTTCCTCTGAGAAACAATTAGGGGCCCTATTGCCAGTCACCGCTAACCATACAGCCCTAGAGTCCTAGGGCCTGGGAGGCCTCTGCGTCCAAGGCTAAGTGTCCCTAGGTCATCAACCCCTAGGCCTAGGTCGGAAAGCACTTGAACTGTTTTGGGGCCCAGTGGGTTCAGGAAGCTTCCAGGCCTCTCCAGCTGCCTTACCACACCTCAGGGGTGTGGGCACCAACTGTTTCCATGGGTTAGGCAGGGCTCCTGGCCCACCTCATAGTTCAGAGGCCCTCTTTGGGACCCACTCCCCCTCACCCCCAGGTAAACAAGCTACCACTGCAAGTTCATATTTTATTTCCAATAGGTTTGGAGCTTTGTTGATTTTTGCATTTTTGTAAAAAAGGAAAAAGTTTTCACTTAACTCATTGAAAGCCCTTTCGTGCTGAGCCCAAGGGGGAGCCTGGGCCAGGACCAGACCCTCTCAGCTCCTACCCCAGACACCCGGTGCTGGGGTACAGCTGCTCCCTCCGCCCGCTCTGCCCTCCCGCCCCTGCTGCATCTCTCTCTGTACAGAACAATTTTTAAAATGGAAGCTAAGACACGATATACACTGGACAGGCACACACACACGCACACAGGCGTCCGCCCAGAACAGGGCGGGACACCAGCTGCACTCAGAGAGCACCAAGGAATGCATACGGAGCCCCTCCGGCTAGGAGGGCAGGGCCTGGGCCCCCTTGGTCCTCAGTCTGCACTCCTCCCCGCCAATTGCCCTGCTAGCTGCCAGAGAGGGGAGGGGGCAGGGAAAGCTGGGGGCAGCTGGTAGTGGTCGGGGGGGGTGGGGAGGTCATAGAATGAGTGCCAGCCTGGTAGGTGGCCCTGGGGCCAGGAGGCTCTTGTGGGGAGTCCAGGGGGAGAGGACTGAGGGTGGACCCTCAGGAACCTGAGGGCTGGAACTCCTGGGCCTTGCCCCTCGAGGAGCTTCAAGGGCCCAGGTATTGGGAGTGGGGCTGGCCCTGCAGCACTGGCCTCCAGCCCTTACTGTTCTCCCCAGGACTATACATTTGGTAAACCTAGGAGCTAAGCCAGCTGAGACCCCCAGCACACCCCCTCAGGCCTCCAAGGCCCTCACAGCTAGAGGCCAGGCCTGCTCTGGGGGACCCACGTCTTCCACACTCCACCCTTGCCCTGGCAAGGAGGTAGGGGGAGCAGAGCCTGCCCTGAGGGCTTCTCCCCTCCCCTTAGTGCCTTCCAGTCCCACCCTTCCCTGCTCAGGCCCCAGGAAGAAGTTAAAAATAGTTAGTTCCTACATTAAAAAAGAGACAGAAACAGATTATCTGCCAAAAGGCCAGTGGGAGAAGAGGGGATGTCGTCTCTGCGGTAGGAAGGGCAGGGAGTGGGTAGGGGAGGACTGCAAAATAGTTTCTTCTTTTAAAAAGTGCTTGGTAAGTCTTTTAAAGTGTGTGTCTATATCTATGTACAGATATACACACAGACACTGTCCACACCACCACGCATACCTGCACACATACAGAAATGTATACATATACATAATCATATACATATACATACATACACATATATATATATATATTCATATATATATATATATATACTTTAAAAAGTCCTAGGTGAGAAGATCTGGGCCAGGCTGGGCCAGGCCTGCAGGGTCACGACTGGAGGGTGTGGGCCCGGCCAGGCTGGCAGATGGGGCACTCGCTGCCCTCAGCGCAGAGCTCACACAGTGCAGCATGTTGGCACGGCAGCACTGCCCGCTTCTGTTCCTGACACTTAAGGCATTTCACCGACTGCATGTGGAACACGGCCTGCAGGGAAAGGGGCATTGTGGTCACCATCCATGGGTCTGGCCCCAAGTTGAGCAAGGAGTTCCCCTGATCCTCACTTCAGCCCCCTTGGGATGGGGAAACTGAGGCACCAAGCTCAACAGTGTGCTCCCAGATCCCTGTTGGCAGGTGAGAGAGCAGGCTGAGAGTCCACCTCTGCATGGCGCGTGGCCAGGCTGCCACAACGCCCACCCCTCACAGAGGCTTCGCCCGGTCTCATTTGACCTTCTAATCCCCAAATGGGGAAAATGAGGCCCAGAAAGGGCTGAGACATGCCCAGGGCCACACCTGGGGGCCTGGCTGCCCGAGAACAGAGGAAAGACAGCTCTTCCCACCATGCCACATTGGCTCCTGGGACCCAGCAGCAGACCTGGGAAGGCAGGGGTAGCCCTGAGGTCCTGGGCCTCACTGGAAGGTCCACTGCTCCATGGAGGGTATACAGGAGGACGCATTTGGGGCCCAGGCATTTGAGCGCAGCTTGGTCAGGGCTGCCCCCAGGGGTGCTGGGGGTGGCACCGATACCCCTCACCCCCAGCCTTTTCATGTTCCTCAGTGCACTCTCCTCACCCACTCCCAGCAGGCCGGCCTTTTGAGTGCTGGCCCAGTCCTGGACAGAGGCTCTCAGGAAGGAAGCCGTCCCCGGAGCAGCCCGGACCAGGTCAGAGTCCAAGCGCTGGCTGAGGCCACCGTGCACCCTACCCAGTGCTCCCTGACCTGGGCTGACCTTGTCCACTTGTTCCAGATGGGCCCGCAGCTGCTTCTGGAGGGAGTAGAGGGTGGAGAGTGAGAGCGTCTCCAGGTCAGAGAAGGAGGGCAGGGCCTGGGGCTCGGGCCCTGCATGTAGCCGCTCCAGCTCCTCCTGGAGTTTCTTCACCTGCACCTCCAGTGCATCCCGCTGCTCCCGGGCCAGCTCGCACTCGGCGCCCGCCACACTGGCCCGCTCACCAGCCTCCTCTGCCTCTTTCTTCCAGGCATCACAAGCCTGTGGGCCCAGCATATAGTCTCATCACAATGGCCCTGCCCTGTCCCCTGTCCCCAGAGAGCACCATCTCTCGGGGGGCCACTCTGGCTGTGGGGCCTGCTGGGAAGCTGGGTTGGCTGTCTGGGAGGACAGCAGGGAGGAGGCTGATGCTGTCTGCACAGAGGTTTCAGGACCTACAGGAGACTCTCCCCTCTGTGGCCAGGGAAAGGGGCCTGGGCCTAGCACAGCAGGGGGCACAGGGTAGAGCTGGGATTCTGGCCAGCACCCACAGGGTAGCCGGCTGCAGCTGGACAGGGGCCCATTTCAGAACCCGGAACCTTGGACTGGGAACCCTGGAGAGGCGAGGCTACTGGGAGGAGGCGGATGGTCCGGGGACAGACTACAAGCAGCTTGCAGAGGGCATTCGAAGCCTGCAACAACAGTAACCACCCAGGGTCCTGACTGGCAAGGCAAGTCCTCCCAGGGGGAGAGTGAGCGAACAAAACTAGTTTCTGCTCTGTTCTTCAAGCCCCCGCTTTCCCCCACCCCACGCCCGCTCTGTGAAGGAAGGTCTTGGGCTGGATGCCACCAGGTACTGGGGAAGGCCGATGTGGGGCCTGGTACCTGCTTGGCCTGCTTCCAGGACTCCTCCCACTGCTTGATGGTGCTGTTGGCTTCATCCAGCTCTTGCCGAAGTCGGGCCAGCTCAGCAGCCCCTGGCCCTGATAGGAAAGCGGGGGAAGTGCCCGGGGAGAAGCTTCCAGAGGCAAAGTGCTCCCAGATGCTGCTGTTCATCCCGTTCAGACCTGCCCCAGGGAGGGGAAGAACATGAGCCTCGGAGGGCTTTGGGCCCAGGCCCTGGCCAGCCCTGCCTCAGGGGTTCCAGGGACTGGCTGTCCACTGGATGGGTGTGCAAGGCTCCAGCTAGTGTCAGGCCAGAGAATTTTCCAGGGACAGGAAGGCTGTGAAGGTGCAGGTGGCATGGGCGGAGTCAGACCTAACCTTGAGTGCCACCTGCTACTTGGTGCCACTCAACTTCTGAGGCCCAGCATTCTCATGTGGGAAACGGGACTCCCATCGCTGGCCTCACAGGGTAACTCAGGGGACTCAGGAAGTACTGCACGTGGGAGCAGTCCCAGGCCCCCGATAGTGGCAATTTATAATTGTGGCTTCACTTTTAGGTTAGGGCCTTTTTGCAGCCTGATGTGAGGCCCAGGAAGAGATAAAGGGGAAGACAGGCCAGAGCCTCATCAGATGGCAGAGCTGGGACAGGAAGAGCTCAGGGAGCCTTGGGGCCATCCCCCTTGTTTTACAGACGAGGACCCTGGATAAAATGTGTTACCAAGGATCACAAAAATTGTAAGTGGTAGGGCCAGGACACAGAGAGGGAGTGTGGTTCCAAAGGTCTATGCTTTCCAGTCAACTATGCCGCATGCACAGCCAACCCAGCTGTCCTCTGCTCACTCGCTCAACAGATGTTTACTAACGTCAGGTCCCCTTGCTCTGGCCCCCAGGGCAGCCCCTAGCTTCTGAGAAGGACCCATATCCACTTCTGGCCTCACTCTGCCCATGTGTACTTTCTGGTGACTTCTTCCTTACTCCCTTTCCCACTAATCTAACCGGGATGTTCCAGAACCAGATTTAAGATGATTGCTCTGCTCTCTGAGCCACACAAGTGCACCTACAGAGGAGGGACTTGGTCCTGTGTGGGGACCTGTGGCATGCACTGTCTGAGCCATCTGCCCCGTCCCAGAGGAAGATCTCAGGGTCACTCCACCCACATGAGACCAGCCCTGTGGCAAGCTCTCCTGTCTCACCCATCTCTCCTCCTCCCTCAGAGAAGCTCTCCTGACTCTGCTGTCCAGGTGGGCCCCTCTACGATTCTCAGGAGGATCCCAATGGCTGGACACCTCTGCGTCCCACAATGGCCACAGCTGTTGGACAGCAGGGACTGTTGCACTCACACCTGTATCAATACACCTGTGCTCAATAGTCAAAAGGTACAGGAAGGAGTGTGTGGCCAGTAAGTGGAGCTAAGTCAATGAAGATGCCACCAGAAGCCGGGCATGGTGGTGACGCCTGTGGTCCCAGCTACTCAGGAGGCTGATGTGAAACGATTACCTGAGCTCAGGAGTTCCAGGCTGCAGTGAGCTACGATCACGCCACTGCACTGCACTGCACTCCAGCCTGGGTGACAGACTGAGACCCTATCTCGAAAAAAAAAAAAAAAAAAGATTCCACCCGAATATGGGGCAAGTCCGAAAAATGCAACACCAAGCACCTAAAGCTGACAGAATCAACGTAACAGAGAACAGCAGCCTCTTCAGCACTGGAAGGCGCTGAGAAATCCACGTGCTGTTCTGGGCTCACGAATGAGATAAGGGAAGCCACCACACCCAATCAGAACTCTGAAGGGCTCAGTCCCTGGGCCTGAGCAAAAGCTGGCACTTCCGGGCAGGGAGCTCCTGGTCTCTGCAGCTACTGGGGGAGAGTGAGAGCTGCGGTGCCAGGTGCTTCCCATGCTGCCCTCGGGAACATCCCGACACACACAAGAGGAGATGCACAGCCGACCCGCGGTGGCACAGGCCTCTGTGCCATTCTTCTAGCCACTAAACCTTGAAGTGCCCTCAGAAACCCCCAGTCCCTACCATTCTAATTCTGTGGGCAGCCTTCTGGGCCAGCCCTGGGCCTCCCTGGAGCCTCTGCCCAGCAGGAAGGGCACCTGGAGCCAGGGGTTAGCCTGTCTGGCTTCTCCCCCTTGGTCCCCTGTGAACCTGGCTGGTGTGAGCTAGCCTCTCGGAGCCTGGGGTGACTGGGCAGAACAGAACCATGGTTTTAAAGAGACCAGGCCCAGCCCTGGCGACTCCGAGACCCCTGCTCTCACCTGCACTGGCCTCGTGCCTAGCACTTCAACCCCATTACTCCATTCAACGCTCGCAACAATGTTAGGAAGTGGATGCTGCCATTATACCCATTTCACAGCACAAGAAACTAAGGCAGAGAGGCTCAATCACTTGTCCAGGGTCACACACACAGGAGTCTCACTCTGCCTCCTGGCCCAAGGCCTCTGCCCTAACCCCAAGCCTGGCTGATACACCGTAGACGGGGTGGCCAGAGGCACCTCCTAAAGGCCCAGGTTCCTGCCCCAGTTCTCAGTGAACCACTCCCCCTCTTACCCAAAGATCCATGTGATGCTGAGGTTCCCAAAAATGTGTTTTCCGACTGGCTCAGGTGGCCCTGGGGCTGCTGCAGGAAATGCGAGGAGATGCTGACAGGAGGGGACGGGGATGCTGAATGGAAGGAGGCAGAGCTGCCCAAGGAGCCGGGGATATTCACGGGCGCAGAGCTCTGCAGCAAGCTGCCGCCTGCAAGAGAGGCCCGGGGAGGGCGGGCTGGGTGAGGGCAGCGGAAGCCAGGCGGGGCACATGGACCAAGGGGCCTGGGCCAGGCGGGAACCCGAGGAGTCCTCCAGGCTGCCCTGCCCACCCACACCCAGTACCGATGGTGATGCTTCCTGGGTGGGGCACTGTGCTGTTATCGAAAGTCTTCTCCAGGGCGGCCACACCAAACTCATTCAGGTCCAAGTCATCCAAAGCAGACTCTAGGGACAGAGAAGAGTGGGATGTGACCTCCCGAGGGCCCATCTGACCCTGACCACCTCGTCTCCTGCCCACGCTGCATCTTCACGCCCATGCTACGCTGGGTCTGTATTCTCCCAAGCCCCTTGTATTCTCCCAAGTGCCCTTCCTTCAGCTGCTTCCTATGCCTATCCTGACTCTTGACTTCTGATGCCGTCTGCCAGTCATGTCCAACCCAAATGCCTCTCCTTTCTGAATCCTTTGACACTTCCAGGAGGAATCATATCCCCATCCAGGGTCCCTGCCTCAGACAGGGATCTTGTCCCCTGATGTTACAACTCGAGGGTCTCAGCCCCGGGCTCAGTGGCGGTGGGCGGGTCTCTGGGCACTCAGTGGCTGGTGGATAGCAGGTGCTTGACATATGTCCACTGGGTGGGAAGTTTCCCTCTACAGGGGAGGAGCAGCACGTTGTCACCTGTCTCCCCAGTGCCTGCCACAGGACCTGGCACAAAGCAGGCACCTAGAAATGAGGACTCAAAGAAAGGAGCACCGACTTCTAGCACCAGGAATTCTGAGAATGTTGTGCAGGGTGTTCACTACACAAGGACACCAGGGAGATGAATGGGGACTGAATGACACGTCTTGGGGTGAGACTGTACTCACCAAGGGGAAAAGGCGCCTCTTTCTGATTTGTGCGAAGGAGCTCTAAGGGCCGGTCTTGGCCCTACACCTTGGGGTCATTTCCCCTTTAGCTCGAAGGACGCAGAGCTCCCACCCCCTGATTTTCCCAAGACAGATGTCTAAGGGGTCTGGTGTGCTGATTTGAGACCTGCTTCAGAGACTGGGGGGTCTCTGACCCCAGACCCAGTCCTGGGCCTGCAAACAGAAATGGCCTAGTTACCTATGACTGACTCTACCGTGTCGCTGGTGGGGTAGAAGGGCAGAGCGTTTGCATTCATGCCGGGGACGCTGCTGGTGCCCACTGGGCTAGGGGGGGTAGCTGCCAGGCTGGAGGTGATACTAGAAGAGATGCTTGAGGTCAGGGGGCTGCCTGCGGGGAGGATGCCCAGCATGTCCTGCAACGAGAGAGGGAAAAGGAGAGGCAATGGGAGGCCTGCATATGGAGGCCAGGACGAGAGGCTGGAGACGGGCTGGGGACAAGGGAAACGGCCCGTGCCAGCTCTAGTCCGGGTGCCCCCATGCCCACATGGGCCCTGGCACACCCGACACCTTGCCGAGAGCATGGAGTTGGAGGTGCGGAGGTTGCCAGGCCCGCTCACCCCTACGATCCTGTAGCAGGGAAGAAAGAAGGAAGTACAGGGCCTGGCAGAGTGCAGGGCTCCAGGGCCTGACCCCCTACCCTCTCTGGATTTGTGGCTGGGACCTCACTTTAGTCCTGCCCTCAGCTTTCGGGGAAAGTGGTGCCTCCCACTCCCCAAAGCCTCCTGGGGGTCTGGGCCAGTCCTGTCCACAGCAGAGGGGAGGAAGGGGCTGAGAGCTCTATACCTGTTTGGGCTGAAGCAGAGGCTGCTCTTGACTCCTGGGCTCTAATGAGTGGGGTTTTAATTTGGCCTGAGGGAGAAAATTCAGGGAGTGGGTGAATGTGGTGCTGGGGTGTCCCTGAGTCCATCTGACCCTGAGGCTGCAGGAAGCAGGGGCCAGGTGGGGGCAGACATGCAACCCCTCCTCACATGCATGCACACACCCCCTTCTTCCTCCCCACCCCTACTCTCTTCCCCTACCCTAAGCAGGGAGCTGCCTTTCTCCTCCAGGTGACACTAGGCCTCATGTAAGCCCAGAAGGTTTCTCTCCAGGTCCAGTTAGGGACCCCTGTGTCCTGCTCCCCCAGACCCTGCCTTTCTATGAAGGCAGCTCAGGGCAGGGGAACGACCGCACCCAGGCGGGATCCGGCTTCTCTCCTAACCAGCTCTGCGGCCCCGGGGAGGCTGTGCAGCCTCCCCAGCCTTCCTGTCTTCAGCTGCAAATGGGCTGATACTGCTCCCTCTGTTCAGTCCTGAAGAGGCTGAGGACAATGGAGTCCTAGCTCCCAGTCATCCTCCCCATAGCTGGACCAGGACACTCCTCCAAGATTCTCTTGCCCCACGCAGGAGAAGGCTAACCTCACTGCTGCCTCCCTCATCCCTTACCTGGCATTTGAAATTTTTCAGGTACTCGGCTCCCACCTGGTCTTCCCTCTCGAAGCCGGGAGCCTTCTTATAGCTGCCAGGGGCCAGGCCAGACTCCCCTGGGAAGACAATGCCCTCCAGGTTTGGGGGCTTCCTGATGGAGCCCGGCGGGGAGCTGCAGAGGTTAGACGGGCTGCCTAGGCTGCTGTTTCTACAGAGGAGCTGTGGAGAAGGAGGGGAGGGAGGGAGTGGGCCCGTGGGCACAGTGTAGGCTGGTGTGTGGCCCGTCCTCCACCCTCCTCAGAGGGAGTCTTCAAGGGGCTCAGTTCCACTTTAATCTGCCAACGAGCAGCAGCGACCACTCAGGGAGCCCGAAGCTCACGAGGGAAAGGGGGGTCACCTCAGGCTGTGTCCCTGCCACCAGTCCTACAGGCTCATCAGCACAGGCTCTGGAGACCGCCCTACCCCACCCCCGTGCCTGGGCTTTTGACAAAGAATGCTGAGATGGAAAAGACAGATCCCCCTGGCCCGAGGACAAATATCAGGATGACCTCCCAAGCCCAGGCTGAAAGGGCCTAGGAGGCAAGTGTTGGCGCTGTCAGGCATGGTGCCCACCCACTCCCCAGGATGGGCACGTACGGCACTGAGGTCAGGGGCATGCGGGCTGGAGGGGCTCACAGGCACCGAGTCTCCGGCGGCAGACGGCATGTACAGGACAGGACCCGGCTGGGTGGGACTGGACACAGCTGAGGAAGGCTGCAGGTCGTCACTTAGGGGTGGCTCTGCAAGAGTCAGGGGCAGGGGTCAGCAGGCCCGAGCCAGCTCTGTCCCTCCAAAAATGTTCCTGGGTCCCTTCCAAAGGAGACCACGAATCCTCCTGCACGTAAAGGAAAGGTTCCTACGACATCTCTAGTAATGCCATGTCTGTGCATTTACTGTGTACCAGGTACTGTGCCAGCACTTTGCAGTGACTGTGAATCTTCATGGTGACCAGAAGATACCAGTAACATGGTCTCTGTTTTATAGACAAGACAACTGAGGCTCAGAGAGGTCAGGTAAACCCACCAAAGTGACAGAGCTGAAAAACAGAAGAGCTGGGACTTGAACGCTGATCCGCACAACTCCAAAGCCTGAATCACTTCCTTATGCTGTCTTAACCAGGCGGTCCCAATGCCCATGGCCGGGGACCACCTCCGCATCAAGAATATGCCTCTCCCTCCCAAGGCCCTCAATTTATTTTCCATTCTCATCTCAGAGATAGGGCCTGAGCCTGGAAAGAGGTTAAGGAGACCCAGGGCAGTATCTTGGGGTAGAAAGAGGTGTTAGCAGGTACAAACTAGAGCTCTGTCTCTGAGACTGGTGGCGGCCCACAGTGTTATGCTGAGGATCCACACCCACACTGTCCCACAAGGCAGTCGAAAGCCACACGTGGCTACTGAGTACCTGAAATAGGCTGGTCTGAATGGAAATATCCTGTAGGCATTAAAATGCACATCAGATCTCACAGACTTACTACAAAAAAAGGTAAAATGTCTTGATAATTTTGTATATTGAAATAATAACCTTTTATATTGGGCTAAATATAAATATGTTATTAAAATTAATTTAACAACATACTTTCCAATTAAAAAAAAATTTTTTTTTTGACAGAGTCTCACTCTGTTGCCCAGGCTAGAGTGTAGTGGCATGATCTCGGCTCACTGCAACCTCCACCTCCTGGGTTCAAGTGATTCTCATGCCTCAGCCTCCCAAGTAGCTGGGATTACAGGCATGTGTCACCATGCCCAGTTAATTTGCATATTTTGCTATTTTTGTTAACATGCTTAAAGATTTTAACTTTAAAATGACATGGGGTTTATATAACATGAGGGTTGCATTATATTCTAACTGGCTAGCTCTGCTCTAGAGGCCTGAGCAGCACTCAGCAGACAAGAGCTCCATGTTCCATTAGTGATGTCTGTCATGGGTATGACATGGGTGGCTGGTGGGATTTGCCACGTCAGCTACGGAAGGCACAGTGCCTCAACCCTCCCTGGAACCATAAGTGCCCAACCAGGGGGACAATCCCTGCAGTCTCTATCTCACTACTTTGGAAGCTCTCGGCCGTCAAGGCTACTTCCAGAAAGGTGGGGGAATGGAGCTTCCAGTGGGGACAAGGCCCACTGCTGGCAGGCCGGAACTCCTGTGCAGGGCGTACTGCCAGGGGCCATCCCCGGCCTGAGCCTGAGCGGGCCAGGGGAGGGAGGGGTGGGAGAGGGCACTGCCCTGGGGCAATGGGAACAGCATACGTTCTACGTGGGCAAAGGCGCAGAAGGGTCCTCGGGGACAGCTGCCCGACTGCTGCATGTCGTTGCACTTGGTGGACTTGTAGATCTGGAGGGCAGAGCAGAGGCGGGTCAGGCTCAGGCCCTGAGGGAAGGCTGGGCAGGCTCCCCTTCCTCCAGCATGGGTGGGCTGGCTTAGTCATCTCCTGCCCTGTGTCCCCGGCCCCTCCCCTCCCCTCCCCTCCACTATGTCTCTCCCTACCAGCTTCTTACTCAAACTCCTGAGGCAGCCCACCACCACTCCCCACTGTCACCGACAGCCTCCCTTCTGGGGTCACAGGTCCCACCAGCCCTCCCAAAGGGATCCCCCAGCGACTCTCCACTCACGGGCATGGCCAGGGCTGTGCCTCTGAATGCGCCTCCTGGGCATTAAGAGAGCCACATCTCAGGCAGCCACCCCTGCCACTGTGACCCCTGCCAGGATACCCTGGGTTGCGACCTATACTAAGTAACCTTCCACTCTGTTGTCTGCAGCTACATAAGGTAGTTTCTGTCCGCGTGTCTACCTCAGGGTGTCGTGGCTTCCACGGAGCACCAAGGGCAGGGACTGCAGGCGCCTCTCTGAACCCCAGACAAGACCTAGGCACACTGATACGGCCCAGGCTACTTCACTGGAAGGAGCTTATTTTTTCAATCCTTTTTTTTTTTTTTTTGAGACGGAGTCTCGCTCCATCACCCAGGCTGGAGTGCAGTGGTGCGATCTCACCTCACTGCAAGCTCCGCCTCCCAGGTTCACGCCATTCTCCTGTCTCAGCCTCCCGAGTAGCTGGGACTACAGGTGCCCGTCACCATACCCAGCTAACTTTTTTTGTATTTTTAGTAGAGATGGGGTTTCACCGTGTTAGCCAGGATGGTCTCGATCTCCTGACCTTGTGATCTGCCCGCCTCGGCCTCCGAAAGAGCTGGGATTACAGGCGTGAACCACCGCACCTGGCGTTTTTTTTTTTTTTTTTTTTTTTTGAGGGAGTCTCGCTCTGTCACCCAGGCTGGAGTGCAGTGGTGCGATCTTGGCTCACTGCAACTTCCGCCTCCCAGGTTCAAGCGATCCTCCCATCTCAGCCTCCCAAGTAGCTGGGGTTACAGGTGCTTGCCACCAAATCCGGCTAATTTTTGTATTTTTAGTAGAGATGGGGTTTCACCATGTTGCAGGTTAGTCGTGAACTCCTGACCTCAAGTGATCCACCCACCTCGGCCTCCCAGAGTGCTGGAATTACAGGCATAAGCCACCATGCTTGGCCCTATGTTTTCAATCCTGATTCACTGGATTACAAGCACCATGAGTGGTGGAAAGCCCAGAGTGGCCAGGTCGCCCTACTCCATCTATACCTGCCCTGTCAGGAGGCCTGGGGGACACAGAACTGGAAGCAGACGGCTGCTTGCTGAGTATGGGCTCAGAATAGAAGATGCCAAATTCAGCCTGCGGGGTTCCTCTAGGCACTGCCTGGGGAGAGCCGGTGGCCACAAGTCCCTCTTCCAGGATGGCATCAGGATGGGTTCTGCCAACATCTCCACTGACCCTGCCTGCCTCTCCTTACTTCCCAAAGCCACCCCCCAACCCTGCTGTGGGGCCCACCTCGGGGTGGAACTGCTGCTCGGTGCGGGTGTGGCAGTACTGGCAGGCGTCTCCGTTCTCACACTTGCCAGGGTCTCCCCACTCATCCCCGTGCTTGACGTTTGGACATGGAGATGACCTGGCCAACAAGAGGGTGGGGTCAGATGGAGAAAGGAGAGGGTGAGATCGGAGCCTAGCGGGTGCCACCTGGACCCAGCCTTACCGGCGTGGGCACAGAAATGGAAAAGACCAGCTGTAGAGTCAGGGCCTTGCTGGTGCCACAAGCCAAGCTCTTTCTCTGGCCCAGCCTGGCCACATCACCACAAAGGATACTGTTTGATTCCCCTCGGCCAGGCCCTCCCACTAGCCCAAGTAGGGTCAGGCTGGAGCCACAACCACACTGTCCACACTGCAGCCTGGTCCTCATCCAACACATTCCCCTCAAGATTCAGAAGCGGTGGGGCCTCAGAGACGGTCTGACCAGGGTCCTCATTCATGCAGGAGGTGAAGCTGGGCTCCTACTGTCCAGCCATCCTCACTATGCCCTCCCCTGGGCCCTGGGTTTGCGATCCTGTCATCCCCAGGACCAGCCTCCCCTCCTCCCAGAGAGCCACAGTGGGAGCAGCCTCTGTCTGACCCCTTCCCTGCCACTCCTCCCTCCCATGGCTGGCCTCCTGGGGCCAAAGGACCTGTATTTGTGCTTCCGGGGGCTCCGCCGCCGGTCCTTGCTGTTGTGGTAGTAGGGACAGGCATAGCCTTGGCGGCACAGCCGCGGGGGCTTCTTGCAAGGCTCCGTCTTATAGTTCCCCAGCACATAAGCAGTCTCTGCACAGGGGGCCAGAGGGCAGGGGTCAGGTGAGAGGAGCTGGAGCACCCCAAGACTAGCAGGACTGGAGTGGAGGGAAGGAGAAGCCACTGGGAAGGAGTCCAAGACAGGAGGCCCCTGCGAGATGTGAGTAGCGCCCCTCCTCCCAGGCCACAGCATAGCCCCAGGTGCAGCAAGGACAACAGATGCTGTCCGTCAGAGAGACACTCACAGCTCACAGGGTGAAAGGGCACTCTTGCAGAGCTGAAAACATTTGCATGTGCACTTATGTACGTGCCTGTGCACATGTGAAAGCCGGGGGGGATCTTGGGAATATGATGTGTCAGAGAAAACGCCCCTGGAGGTGCCTTTTGAATGGTGGATGTAGGGTGGGATGCGGGCCAGGTCAGGGCTTCGGCTACAGCAGGCAGTAGGTGGCGGTGAGTCAAATCCCCAGGGCAGCTATGAGCAGGACAGGGAGGGCGCGGCCGAGGCGTGGATGCCTGTACCTTGCCACCGAGGCTCCTCGCTGAGGATCTTTTCTATCATGGCGTGGCTCGCAGCCCCAGCCGACTGGCCCTCTATGCTCCCTTCTACTGTGGTCTGGCCATTCTGCAAGGCCTCCATGGCCTGAAGCTCCCTGGGAGGAGAGGAAAGAACAGAGAGGGTGGAGAGGGGGCATGAGGGGTAAGAACCAGAGTGCCAGCCCTCCACTGCAGTCTGAGGTACTCACCGTCATCAGCCGCCAGGCCCCTGCCCTGGACCCCAGCCTACTGCCATCAGCCCAGCCCAGCACCCAGCCCACCTGATGTCGTAGACAGGGGAGCGGAGGTCATGGGGCCCGTGGGCAAAAGCGCAGTGCAGGCCGTTTTTGGTGCAGTTGCCTTTTGAGTCTGTCTCGTGGATGCAGATTCCAGTTTTGTAGTAACGAAGGTGGTACCTGCGCTCAGTGTCTCCTGTGGTTCTGTGCAGGAATGGGCACCTGGAACATGGTAGTGGGGGACACTCAACTTTGCTGCCTGCAGCCTAGGCTTCCCTGTCTACCTCCTGCCCTTTCCCCAACTGTTTTTTTTGTTGTTTGTTTGTTTTCTTTTTTTTTGAGACGGAGTCTCACTCTGCTGCCAGGCTGGAGTACAGTGGTGCGATCTTGGCTCACTGCAACTTTGACTCCCTGGTTCAAGCAATTCTCCTGCCTCAGCCTCCCGAGTAGCTGGTATTATAGGTACACGCCACCATGCCCAGCTAATTTTTGTATTTTTAGTAGAGACGGGGCTTCACCTTGTTGGCTAGGATGGTCTCGATCTCCTAACCTCATGATCCGCCCGCCTCAGCCTCCCAAAGTGCTGGAATTACAGGCGTAAGCCACTGTGCCCGGCCTTTCCCTAACTGTTGAACAGCTTTCATATATGGCCCTAACTGTTGAACAGCTTTCATATATGGCCTAGGAAGAAGGCAATGGTGAGCCCTCCTGCGGTGTAAGGGAACTGCCCTGCTGCTGCCTGCAGCCTAAACAGGGCCCAACAGGGCCTGGCATTCCTGGGCAGGACAGACATCTGGGAGAACAAATGCTGCCCAGGCTTGGGGGCCATCAGAGAACCAAATATCTACTCAAAACCCAGGTACAGCCTTCATCCCCTGAGTGCTTCTTTAGGCTAGGGGTAGGGTCAGCAAGCCTCGGGCCTCCGTGAGAAAGAGGTGCTAGGCCGGGCCAGTAGCTCACACCTGCAATCCCAGCAGGGAGGCAAGGCAGGAAGATCATCTGAGGCCAGGAATTTGAGACCAGCCTGGGCAACACAGTGAAGACATACCCTGACCCATCTCTACAAATTAAAAATGTTTTAAATCATGGCCAGCCGCGGTGGCTCACGCCTGTAAAACTCAGCACTTGTGGGAGGCTGAGGTGGGTGGATCACCTGAGGTCAGGAGTTTGAGACCAACCTGGACAACATGGCAAAACCCCATCTCTACTAAAATAAAAAAAATTAGCCGGGCATGGTGGCCTGCACCTGTAATCGCAGCTACTTGGGAGGCTGAGGTAGAATTGCTTAAACCCAGGAGGTGGAGGTTGCAGTGAGCTGACATGGAAGTGCTGGTGGAAGCAGGTGCCCACTCCAGCCTGGCCAACAGAGCAAGACTCCATCTCAAAAAAAAAAAACAAATAAATGAACTGAAGCTGGGCATAGTGGCTCATGCCTGTAATTTCCACACTTTGGGAGGCCGAGGAGGGCAGATCACCTGAGGTCAGGAGGTCGAGACCAGCCTGGCCAGCACGGTGAAACCCTGTCTCTACTAAAAATGCAAACTTAGCCAGATGTTGTGGTGCACGCCTGTAGTCCCAGCTACTTGGGAGGCTGAGGCAGGAAAATCACTTGAACCCAGGAGGCGGAGGTTTCAGTAAGCCAAGATCACACCACTGCACTCCAGCCTGGGCAACAGAGTGGAGTTTGAGGGTGCAGCGAGGATGGTGCCACTGCACTCCAGCCTGGGGGAAAGAGGGAGACCCTGTCTAAATAAATACAATTATACAAATTTTAAAAAAGAGGGCTGACGTAGGGAAGGTTCTATGAGACAAGCAGGGTCAGTGAATGTTCCATCAGTGACACTCTCAGGTGTGGCACCTTCCTGTGTCTCTCAGTGCTGTGCCCTATTTCTCTACAGAGATTTGCAGTAAGATATTTAGGGTCAGCAAACCTGGGCACCAGTGAGGCGCTCTCTCTAAACAGCCAGCTTTGGTGGGAACTGCACGGGATGTGGCAAGTGTACCTCCCGGATAGGGAGAGGGGCCCTGTGATCCCCCGGGGAGGATGAAAAAAGGCCAGGGAGCCTCCGGGGTTTAGATGTGGGCCCTTAGGCTTAGTGAAAGAAAGGCGTCTTACATTTCCTAAAAGTGGGAAAGGGAAATGGCACCTCCCCGCAGCCCACGGCCAGGGATGGTGGGGTCTGAGCCCAGGATCGGGCCATGGGCTGGGCTGCAACCAGTCCTCTGGATGGCCTCCCAGAATCTGCCCAGCCTACCCTGAGGGCATCTGACCCAGAAGGAGACATGGGGCTCCTCTAAGGACAGCCTGGGTCACTCACTCGTCGCCCTCCGGGCAGAGGCCTGTAGCCTCGTCGTACTTGGTGCAGTAGACGTCAGGGCTGTAATTGAAGGTGCCGTCCCGACGGCGGATGGACCGGCGGCGCCGCTGGTTCACGAAGTGCCAGTGGAAGCAGGTGTAGGGCCGATGCTGCGTGCATTTGTGTTGCACAAAGAGTGGGCACTGCTCCGTGCGGAATTCTTTCAGGTACCTGCAGAGAGAGCCCCACGTGGGGCAGGCCAGGAGCAGAGAATGAAATCTCTTGCTTCCCAGCAAGAAGTTAGCTGCCAAGTCCCCGGAGGGCCCTGCTCTGGGGTGCTAGTTCCACTGGGACACCAGGAGAGACCCAGAGCTGTAAGGCTACACCTCAGCTCTAGGATCCAAACCAACACCCCAGTCCCACACCAGCCTGAAAGGCAGGAACCGGAGACCGCAGCGGCCTCGGCGGTCAGCTGTCTGCTGTGTTGACCAGCTGTGGCGTTAGTCAGCAGCTTGGTTCTCTGAGCCCTTTCCAAGGTTTCCCAAGTCAAACCACTAATCACAGGCAAAGGGCTGCAAACAAGAGCATGAGGCACCTCTGCCAAACTCTACAGGCCTCTGCTACCCAGGTCCACCTGCCTGTTGTTGCAGGCCTCGCCTGTAGCATGAGCTGGGGCTGTGGGCTGAGAGGAGGAATCTGCAGATAAGCACTTAGGCTTTTCAGCTCTGAAGCTGAAAGCCCAGGTCACAAGGCATCCCTCGGGACTACTGACTCAGTAATTACCGTCCTGTCTGCCCGCCTCCGCCCAGAGACATTTCCTAGCACTACCTAGATCTGTGCTTGGGGAAAAAAACTCATACTGACGTTCTGAAGAGACCCACCCCCCCCACCCCGCCCCCGCTGCTCCAGCCTGTTCTGTCCCGTCCTGTCACCTCGGGTGGAGTACCTGCAGCAGCCGGGCTATTTATGTCCTGGGGGCATGAAGCTGTCTCCTTTTGGCCGCCTCCTCCCAACCTTCACTGGTCTCTCTCCTCTGCCCTGCATGTGTAACATCCAAGACACTCCCAAATCTCTTCTCCCACATCCCACCCAGTGGAAGGCCCCAGACCCACTTACCCCCTTACATCTGGCTTTTTGTTCACTACATGTGTCCAGGTTGGGGGGTCTCCTAGACTGGATCCCCCCGCCCCTGGCCCCAGGAAGGACAAGCAGTTAGTGTAGTTCTCTTTATTCTCTCGAGCCTAACAATGCAAGCAACAAATGACCTGGGATAGGGCATTTAACGCCATTCAGAAGGATGGTGCCAGAGGCTTGGAGACTGCAGAAAGCAGCATGAAGGGAACAAGTCGATCCAAACGAGGGATCCTTGACCCAGGATGGGATGCAGGAAGGAGGAAGGGGGAAGCGGGGAGGACAGGTACTAGCGGATGAAAAATTTGGAGGTGTTTTCGGAACAGGAACAGGATGAGCTTAGAGACAGAGTGTGTCTGTCTGAGCTCCCAGTACCTTTGTGGATGTGCATGGAATAGGAAGGGAACAGAAACGAGAAAAGGAGAATAAGGTGAGGTGCAGGAGGCAAACTGCAAATTTCAAGGGCTTCATCTCTGGGCTCCAGGTACATCCTGAAGACCCCAGGCAGAAATCTGGAAGGCTCCCTACAGCCTGATGTTCTCCTGGTCCCTTTGGCATTTGAAGCAAAGGTTCTTCTCCTTTACTGTCTGGTTAGACAGAAAGCTGTGCCCTCCTGCCGCACACAGGCACCAAGCCTGGCACTGAGCTGGGATACCCATTCCTCAAACTGCTACAACCATCCCTCTCCTGGGAGGTACATCCCTCTTCCTGACTTTTTGGACCCACAAAGAAACTACCTCAGGAGGTAACAGAAAATGGGAGAGAAGGAACTTTCCTGAAAGAAGGAAGCTGGGCCCAGAGACAGCAGCACAGAAGAGTGAGGCATGGTTAGAATGGGCAGATTAAGGACGGAACACCCAGTTAAACTGGAATCTCATATAAGCAATGAATAATATTTTAGCCTAATTAAGTCTCAAATATTACATGGGACATACTTATCCTAAAGAAATTATCTGTTTCTGGTCAGGTGCGGTGGCTCACACCTGTAATCCTAACACTTTGGGAAGCCGGGGCGGGTGGATCACCTGAAGTCTGGAGTTCAAGACCAGACTGGCCAAAATGGTGAAACCCAGTCTCTACTAAAAATATTAAAAAAATGGCTGGGCGCGGTGGCATGAGCCCATGGATGCCTGTAATCCCAGCACTTTGGGAGGCTAAGGCGGGCGGATCACAAGGTCAAGAGATCGAGACCATCCTGGCCAACCTGGTGAAACTGTCTCTACTAAAAAATACAAAAATTAGCTGGGCGTGGTGGCCTGTGCCTGTAGTCCCAGCTACTTGGGAGGCCAAGGCAGGAGAATCACTTGAGCCTGGGAGGCGGAGGTTGCAGCGAGCCGAGATTGCACCACTGCACTCCGGCCTGGCGACAGAGCAAGGCTCCATCTCAAAAAAAAAAAAAAAAAAAATTACCCAGACATAGTGGCACATGCCTGTAGTCCCAGCTACTCAGGAGGCTGAGGTAGGAGAATTACTTGAACCCAGGAGGCAGAGGTTGCAGTGAGCCAAGATCGTGCCATTGCACTCCAGCCAGGGCAACAAAAGCAAAACTACATCTCAAAAAAAAAAAAAAAAAAAAAAAAAAGAAATTATCTGTTTCCAATGTAACTGGCATCCTGGTTTGTTTTTAAGAGACAGGGTCTTGTTATGTTGCCCAAACTGGAGTGCAGTGGCTGTTCACAGGCTCAATCATGTTATAGCACAGACTCAAACTCTTGGCCTCAAGTAATCCTCCTGCCCCAGTCTCCAGAGGAGCTGGGGTTACAGGTATGCGCCACTATGCCCAGCCAGCATCCTTTATTTGCTAAACCTGGTAGTTCTAAGAGTGATACGTGCCTGCCTGGTGTCAGTGCCTTATGAAAGCACAGGGAGGCAGGAGGAGAAACCTAGGATATGTTCACCCTGCCTCTGGGCACAGTCTGTCCTGGAGAAGGAAAGGTCCCCGAGGACAGGAGCTAGACCTGGTGAGCCTGCTGACTTGGGGCAGACATGTCCACGGTGCCACGTGCAGATGAGACTCCACAGAGGCTCTAGCTGGCAGGGCTCTCATAGATCAGGACAGACAGTGAGCCACAGATTCCATGGTAAGCCTCTTCACTTCCATTCCCACTGCCCTGGATCAGGGACTTAGGATCTTTTCCTAAACTGACCTCTCTGTTACTGGCCTTTCTCTGTCCAGATGACACTGCATGGTGCTCAACCCTCTTCCTAGAGCCCGAATTTAACTTTTTTTTTTTTCTTCTTTCTTTCTGAGACGGAGTCTCCCTCTGTTGTCCAGGCTGGAGTGCAGTGGTGTGATCTTGGCTCACTGCAACCTCCGCCTCCCAGGTTCAAGCAATTCTCCTGCCTCAGCCTCCCGAGTAGCTGAGACTACAAGTGCGTGCCACCACACCTGGCTAATTTTTTTGTATTTTTAATAGAGACAGGGCTTCACCGTGTTAGCCAGGATGGTCTCGAGCTCCTGATCTTGTGATCTACCCGCCTCAGCCTCAGCCTCCCAAAGTGCTGGGATTACAGGCTTGAGCCCCTGTGCCGGCCAGCAAACTCCTCTTGTAAAGGACCAAATGGTAAATATTTCAGACTTTAGATTTCTTTTTCTGTTTTTTTTTTGAGACAGAGTCTCACTCTTTTGCCCGGGATGGAGTGAAGTGGCATGATCTCGGCTCACTGCAAACTCTGCCCCTGGGGTTCAAGCACCTCAGCCTCCCAAAGTGCTAGGATTACAGGCGTGAGCCACTGCACCCAGCGGACTTTAGATTTCTTTTTGAGGGGATAACATTTTGCAAAGTTGGGGGATCCCTTTTATCAAAATGGATTACAAATGTTCATTGTTAATTGTGACTCTGTAATACATACATATATATTTTATATATATACACACCCAAACACACACACATACACACACATAAAAATTTTTCTTTCTTTAAGGCAGGGGCTCGCTCTGTTGCCCAGGCTGGAGTGCAGCGGCTCAAGCAGGGCTCACTGCAGCCTTGACCTCCTGAGCTCAAGTGATCCTCCCACTTCAGCCTCTGGAGTAGCTGGACTATAGGCGCGTGCCCCCATGCCCAGCTAAATTTTTTTGATTTTTAGTACAGACAGGTCTCGCTATGTTACCCAGGCTGGTCATGAACTCCTGAGTTCAAGTAATCCTTCCCGGCTTTGACCTCCTCAAATGCTGGGATTACAGGTGTGAGCCACCACACCTGGCCTGTAATGAGATTTTTATGTATTTCATCTTTGAAAATGTCTTTTCACATATATAGGTATTGCTAAATGTTGATAACATTCCACAAGCACACGGGCTTGTTTTTTTTCCATTTGAGACAGTCTCACTCTGTCACCCAGGAGTGCAGTGGTGCAATCATAGCTCACTGTAGCCTCAACCTCCAGGGCTCAGGTGATCCTTCCACCTCAGCCTCCCAGGTAGCTGGGACTATAGGGGCCCGCCACCGCACCCGGCTAATTTTTTGTATTTTTAGTAGAGACAGGGTTTCACCATGGTCTCGATCTCCTGACTTTGTGATCTGCTCACCTCAGCCTCCCAAAGTGCTGGGATTACAGGTGTAAGCCACCACGCCCAGCCAAGCATATAATTTTTATTCAGGATATCCATCTCTTAGATGACAATTATAGAATTCCACTATTTTTTTTTTTTTTCTTTTTGAGACGGAGTCTCGCTCTGTTGCCCAGGTTGGAGTGCAGTCGCACGATCTTGGCTCACCGCAACCTCTGCTTCCCGGGTTCAAGCGATTCTCCCTGCCTTAGCCTCCCGAGTAGCTGGGATTACAGGTACCCGCGACCACACCCGGCTAATTTTTGTATTTTTTGGTAGAGACGGGGTTTCCCCTTGTTGGCCAGGCTGGTCTTGAACTCCTGACCTCAGGTGATCCGCCAGCCTCGGCCTCCCAATGTGCTGGGATTACAGGTGTGAGCCACCATGCATGGCCAGAATTCTATTAATACTTATCTTTTAATCACTTCCAGTTGAAGATATGTCGTAAACTCAATTGTGCAGATTTTTTATTTTTATTTTTTAGATGGAATCTCACTCTGTCACCCAGGCAGGAGTGCAGCAGCGTGATCTCAGCTCACTGCAACCTCTG